GATGCGCTCATTGAGTTGCTTCGTCGCGTCTGTCGTGCAGCGTGGCGCTGCTGAGGCGTTAGCCTCAATGCTGTTGATGCGTGCGAGAGCGGAGTTCAACAGCTGATGCTGTTGCTGCTGCTGCGTTGCTTCGGCGCGGATGGCAGTTGTTAAAACAGCAATGTCTTGCTGGTACTTTTGTCGTTGCTGTCGTTCCGTGCGCAGATGTGCCTGCAGCAGTGTGTTATTCCACATGATGCCTCTCATCATGCCCAGCATCAAGTTAGCCAGGTGAGTCCTCTCTGCCTCCGCCGGTGTCGGATCTGCCTGCGCGTCCGAAGGCACAAAGATCATGCCTTGGAGGAACGTTGTCCACTGACTTTCACTATGAATCAGGGACTCCGTACTGGCGGCATTCTGTTGGTCTCGTGCCGCTGCGTCAGCCTCAACAGTCTGCTGAGTTTGGGCTGCCGCCTCATTGGCCAGCCGCTGACGTTCTGCCTCTGCTGCCTCCTGCTGAGCCTTGGCGGCAGCTACGGTATCTGTAAATACCTGTAGCCGCCCAAAATAGTCAGCCAACGGCTCACTGGCCCTTCGGACCGGGCAAGCAGGAAGAACTCCGGTGGTGTCCGGTACCATCAATGTTGTACTCGATGCCGCTGGAGTCGTCCGCCTGCTGAGTCTCTGTTGCTGAGCCTTGGTTCGTGGAGGTACCGTAGGTCGAGCACGAACTGCGAGCCTGGCACAGTGCCGTGGCAGTGCCCCAGTATCCTGTTCCATCGACATCAGTGTGTACTGATGCGGTACTTGAGAGGTCCCGGTGGTCACAGAATACGAGGAGGGTAGGGAGAGTGGGAGCAGGGGTAGAACAATCAAACAATACGCATACAGTCCCCTGTCCCACTGATGGACTGTAGACACCTAATCAAACAGAGAAATAAATTTCCGTAAACCATTCAAAAATTCGTAATTAGGAATTAATAACGATTTAATCAATAAAATTAATTAATGATAAATAACGAAATACTCCTAATGATGATCAATAAAACAATGTGTGTAATAAAGATAACCAATAATCATTATTTGCAATAAAGATAATCAATAAACAATAATTGCAATTATAAATGAATTTGAAAGGTATTATGATTAGGTCTCTTTGAGATCACTTTGAGTCCGGGAGTTCGCCATTAATGAGTGACTACCCGGAAGTTGCAGTTTGAGGGTCAGATACGGCTTAGTGTGCTAAAAAAAATTTCGGAAAATTTCAGAAGAAAAAACGCTCGAATTTTCAAAAACGTGAATTTTCCGGAATTTCCACCATCAAAATCCGATTTTTAAAAGCCTAAACCTGTTTTCGGAATTTCTCAAACAAGGGGAACGGAAAAAAAAACTCGCGAAAATTTCGGTCCCAACCCTAATTTTCCGCGTTTCCGCGAAATTTCCGGATTTACCGTCCCAAAACGTTCGAATTTCCCCAAGTTGATCTAAAACCCAAAGATGTTCGTAACCCTAATTTCCAATACTGAAAGACAACGGAAATCCAAAAGAAAACGAAATATAGGATTTACAAAAAAAAATGCCGAAAAACGGAATGCTGATTGGAAATCAGAAACGCCGAATTTCAACATGATACTGGTTCAACCCTAATTCGTGTAAAATCAGAAATCCGAAACTTAATCAATTATCGGATTAGTATCACTCAATCGGAACTCAAATAGACAGCATACCAGAAGAAAACAGAAATCCGGATCATAAGTCCGAATACCGAGTTGAACGGAAATGCCGAACTAAATAGAATACCGAAAAAGAAAAAAGAAAAAAAATTTGCAACTTTGAACTTAATAGTAGTACAGCGCTGATTTGGAAGATTGAGAAGGCAATCTAATTCCTAACCAGACTTACCTTTGTGAGCAGATCCGTTATATGGTCTGCTCCGATACCAAAACTGTTACATACTCCAATGAGTATGGGCAGAACCAAGGATCAACCAATGTAGGATGAGCATATATGCAACGGAAGTCTGATGAACGGACTGACTCACATAGACTGACTCACATAGCATCACTCCACACACATACAATCGTGACGTGGTGGGGTCTGAGCCATACATAGAAGATGCTCAGCCCCGTACACACATACACAGATGAATGGGGGAGGAGAGACGAAGAGGTGGGGGGAGGTAGGCAGCACCGAAAGTCACCGAGATAGAATCTGATAGGTCACCGATATGGTAGTCCAAAATGTCATCCAACAAATACACAGATGAATGGGGGAGGAGAGACGAAGAGGTGGGGGGAGGTAGGCAGCACCGAAAGTCACCGAGATAGAATCTGATAGGTCACCGATATGGTAGTCCAAAATGTCATCCAACAAGATCAAAATGTCGAGGACCATAGGTCACCAACGTCGGGGATACAGAGTCCAAATGTAACCGGTGTCTGAACTGTGATGTCGCCAAGTATCAACCCCAACGATCTCCAAGTCTCCAATCCGGTAAAGTACCACAGTCTCATACCACCGAAGTCCAACACTGATCTCTGTCCAACTAGTATAAGTCTCCAATCTGAAGAAGAAGAAGAAGAAGAAGAAGAAGAAGAAGAAGAAGGAGGAGCCGAGGAGGAGAGAGAGAGAGAGGGGACTGGCGATGGGAGGGAGGAGAGAAGCCTCCAACTCCCAATACCTCAGGCGGCTATGGCCGCCGGTAACCCAGTCGCCGCTGCTGCTGCGCTAATCTGCGCTGCGCTGTTCCTCGCTGCTCCTGCGCTAATCTTAGCGCCAGCGCTGTATCGCACTGTACCATACCGTACTGGTAGAATGCCGGTAGGTCGATGCCTCGAAGTGAGGGCGGACCAGTGCTAAGTACTGGTTCGAAGAGGACCGGCCTCACTGCTGCGAGGCCTTAGTTGGGGCTGAACCGTCCAGATCGACGATTCAGGTCCAACCGGAGAGCGGCAGCCTCAAACGGCGCCGTCAGGCCCAAAGACGAAATGTCATTTGGGCCTGGTCCGTAGTCGGGTCTAAGTTGTGGCCTTTCGGCCTGTTATCCCCCAAGGTCGGGCCTTTAGGCCCTGATGTGTCCCTCTAGCCCTAAGTCGGGTCCGGTAGGACCCGTGTGGCGTCGAAAATGTAACAATGCAGCTTCGCAGCACCTGTGCCTTTTCCCAGTCGGCACTGGAATCTTCCGGACACCGGCAGACAACCAACGATGTGCATGTGATCGACCGTCAAGCCTTTTCCCAACAGGCTGACTTTGACTTTGGGCCTGGTATCGACCGTCGTTCATCTGATCGACCGTCGTGCCTTTTCCCAACGATGTGCATCTGATCGCCCGTCGTGTCTTTTCCCAACGTGCTGTGGTTGACCGTCGTGGCTGGCCAACGGGCTGACTTTGACTTCGCAGCACCGGTGCCTTTGCTGTGATTTTCCAAGAGTCAGCTGAGTCTCACCTTGGGGTACTTGACACAGCTTTTGACTCAGACCCTGGTGACCCTTGACCCTAGGACTTTCTCAGACATATCTCAGGCTTGGGAAGTGACTTTTGACCCCGGTTTCTGGCCTTTGACCAAGAGTGACGACCCTTGCTCGCGTTTGGGCATTTATATGGACAAAGGTTTATTACATACTGGTGGTTTCGAAGGGCCACAGCACAGAAGGGGCAAAATTGGCGGGCGGCTCAGAGAATCGAACGTGTATTCCTGCCACCACCTGCCTGGCTGGCAACATGTGAACCTCATAAAAACAGGTGGAATGCTTCAAGCATCAAGAGATTCAAGAATCAAGACTTATAATCCTCCTCTTTTTTTGGGGGGGAGAGAGAACAATAATAACAATGGAACATACAGAAATTCCTAGACCGCCATAACACGACTTCAAAATTCAGAAACTCCCAAAAAAAAAAAAAAAAAAAAAAAAGGATAATAAATCTGCAGGAGTTCTTCCAGTATATAATCGCACTGATGCGAAGAGAGATCACTGACGAGTCGTGACGGCATATAACTTGCCACAGCAGTCGACACGATACACCTCAGTGACCTCACAAGAAAAACAAAAAACAAACATTGTCAAACAAACAAACAAAGTTAACAAACAAACAATACACCATGGCACTTTTTTAAACACCTCAAGCCCAAAGGTTCAAGCAATCGAGTCGTGAAACGGTGGAGCTGTTGTGTCCCAAGCTCAAGGAATAAAAACTCAGAAGAGAGATCTGTCACCTTTTGCACACTCGTTAGCACCAGATATCCATCGTCTTTTCAATCATCCTTGGCCAACCACCTACCCCTTAACTTCATTGTTAAACCACAAGTCCAGGTAACTTGCTGCACAGAAGATTTCATCGAACCAAACGAAGCTCCGCTCGTATCGACCCAGCCACAGGTGGGTCAGTACGTCGAAAACACGGCGTCTGCGTACGCGGCGGGCAAGGTTGCGGCAGAAGGGTCCCGGCACTGGTTGTTTAAGACAGGGCAGAGATCCCTAACATGAGTGGTACTGCAAGAACGGGACGGACAACAAACTTGGGCCGCAGAGGTGGTGGAGGAGCACAGGGCAGAGGAGCCCAAAGGGTAGCGGATATAGTCACGCCTGAGACGCTAAGAAAAACAGCCTGGGGGTAATGGACGGTGCAGGCGCGAAAGGCCGGACAGAGAAGGGCAGAGAGGAGGCCAACCTGCCAAAGGCAGAAGGAAAGAAGCGAGGACACTGTGACTTCAGGTAGGGGAGGATGCAAGTTAACAAAGGACCTGAGAAAATCAAATTAGCCCATTTGTAAATTAAAGACAAAGGACGATGAAAATCAGTGATAACGGAAGGTGGAGAGGGAGTCTCATAAGGAATAGGGACCTCTACAGAGCATCTGGATAACCAAATGGCCAACTACCGAAGCTGACTGTTATATGTCCGGCATCCAACCCCTCTACAACAACCTGGACTTTTTGGGAAAAGGAAAAGAAAAGAAGGTTGACAAAGTGACCCTGAGAAGAGCAAAATAGCCCATTTGTACAGTGGCTTGAAAGCAGTGACAAGGCACAACTACACACACACACACACACACACACACACACACACACACAGAGAGAGAGAGAGAGAGAGAGAGAGAGAGAGAGAGAGAGAGAGAGAGAGAGAGA